GCCAAACTGGGGAATTGAGGTCACAAAGCTATTGATATTTTAAAATATTTATATCCAGATTTTTGTTTAAGGAAATGGAAAACTGAAAATACCATCCTAGAATTGTTTCTGAGGACAAATTTTAAAAAATTGCTTAATTAATGGCATATTTACAAAGAAGTAGAAGAATTTGGAAGTTTCTATCTCCATTTCCTCTTTAATTTTTTTCATACTTGACATTCCTTTTACCCCACAGAGCAGGTTCACATCTGCTGTGTGTTTTGCTCTTATTGATATGGATGCTCCAAAGTCAACAGGTGTTTTCTGATGTCAGAAGTCTTTCGTGTTTCGTTTGGACACATTCCAAAGTCGGATAAAGACATGTTTAGCTGAAATGGCTTATCTCTCATAGGACCAACTGGCTAGAAGATGCCTGAGGCCTCGTTGCCAGGGAATTCTCCAGCAGAGTTTGTCCATGCAATTCATCAGACTTTCAGGTCTCAGGTAGTCAGTGTTGTAGGATGTACACTGTGACTGGGTCTACATGGAAACTTTTTGAATCAAAACTTTGGTCTCTAGAAATATCTAGGAATTGTTTTTAAAAGGAAATAGATAAAGCACATAGTAACCCTTTTTCCTTGATTTCTTACTAAATTTTTGGTCAGGAGATCCACTGAGAATCTGAAGTTTGACTATATATACTGCTATGTTTAAGCATATAGGACAAAGCACAACATTTAGATAGTTCATATTAGAAAGGACCATCTTGGAGATTAGCCAATTTATTTATTTCTACCATGAGCCAATCGTGTTGAAAGAAAAAATTCTAGTCCCATCAGAAAAAAAATTTACTAAAATATTTAATTACATTAAGACCTGGTTGTTTGCTGAAATTATATCATGTGCTTAATTATCTATTTTAAAAAAATGTTTGGATTTCCACTAAAGGAAGTTACATTGCTCTAAATTATCAATTTAAGTTATAGATTATATTATTCTCCTTCTCAAAGTTATTGAAGAAGCTCTTTTCAAAACAGGAAAGGAGTTTTGGTGTACTGTTAAAAATAAAACATGGTCTATACACATATGGATTTGGGGGATTTAAACATTTTTCTCACACTCTACATGGCTACCCTGCTTGCAAGCTCTAAATTTCCCTTTTTAACATTGGGAATCATTTTATTGAATTGCTCCATGACAATTCAATTGGTTTCCCTTTCATAAATATAATCAAAGTCTTACACAATTAAAATACATATCAAAATTAGAATCTATTTAAAGGCTCTGACCAAGAGTTCTACCCAGAGAAGGAAAAGATCTGGGCCCTGCTCCCTGGATGTTTGAGCCAAACTGAGTTGAGTCCACATGCCTTGAACTATGGGGAACAAACTGAGCAGGAAGGACATGGACCTGCTTGTAGTGTGCGCAGACCGAGTCAAAGGGCACGCATGGTGTTGTGAGGGGGCATAACCTGAGCAATTTGAAGAAAAGGAAATGTTCTTGAGTTTTTTAGACTACCCTTCATGAGAGACATCTCGCAGTTTGGGATATGTTTCAGCAAGAGGCAGTCTCTATTTCCCGATTTCTGATTTATTTCTGGCTGTGAGCAGTATCTTGGTGGGGCTGCCATGAGAACAAATCAACAGAGATTCGTTGCACTCTGCGCTGCTCTTGGTGACGGAACCTCTTCTGGTCCTGGGTGACTCTTCCTATGCCATGGCACAGTCCCCCCTCTGCTCTGAGGATTCCTGCGAGCAGCTCAGCTGCACCCACCCCCAACCGAATTCTCATTCCCCAGTCCCTCTGATGCACGTCCTTTCCCCAGCAAACATCAGGACCAGGGCTTCTGCCTGCTGTCCCTTCTCCTGCCACCTGCCTGTGACACATGCCACACTTTTGTGGCTTTCAATGGAGTTCAAGGCCCTGTCATCTCTTAGGCTGAGTGGCCCCTCCTAGTCTCTTAGGGACCTGCCCTGGCATCCCCGTGCCAAAGTCTGGCAGTTTATACCACGTGGACCTTTCAACATTCCTGATTTACTTTGATTGTTCAGAGAGGGTCTGTTTTAGCTAACCTCTTATCATTCAGCAGGCTGAACAGCACAGTTGGGCTGAGTCAGGTTGGGGATTACCTGATTGCTTATTTTACAGAAAGTAGATCACACAGTGGTAGAGAAGCCCATCTTAAGTGCGGGCTGCAGGGAGGACAGCTTAAGCCCTCACCACTGAAACAGAAAGACCTCGACAAGGTGGCCCGTGTTGGGTAAGTGCAAAACGCAACTACCTCATGGGGATATTTTTCCAACACATTCACACTTCAGATCATCCCATGTTTTGATTCACAGACATAGCCCAGCAGGTACATTCCATATGCCATCACTTTGCTGCTTCCAGCGATAGGAAGCCCCCCTCCACCTTCAACACTGGGAATGGGAAAGACTGTTCTCTCCTTCTCAAGTTCAAAGTCAGGCTGTCTCTGTGCATCCTCCCTTGCCTGGCAGGTGATGGGGATACTTGCAAGGAGGATTTGCTGCTTTTAGAGATTTCAGCATTTTGTGACATCTCCCTTTCTTCTTCCAAACTCCTTAATCCCCCAAACTTATCAAATTGGGTACTCTACAACTCCTGAATTGTATTGCTTTTTGAGAAGTAAGGAGAGACTATTAGATGGGACTTCCTTACCGATAATTACCAGCTCAGATTTGCTACCAACTTCTGGACATCATTTGCATATTTTCAGAACATGCTTTTTCTTTTTTGTCTTGTGGTGTCTTTTTTTAATATATAAGAGCAGGTAGTTAAATATATGTCTTTTTCCAGATTATTTTATTTTAGTGAAATTGATACTGGGGTTCTTGTTCACGGAGCTTCACTCAAGGTAGGAGAGCAAGGCAGAGGCTTTTATTTATAGAGAAAGTGAGAGGACAGAGCTCCTGGCTGGAGGTGACAAGAGAGCCTTGGGGTGGTGTGATGTCTAGGGGTTTTAATAGGCAGTTGAGAGATAAAGGGCTAAGGATATACACCTGCTAAGTGGTCCCAAAATTTACTAAAGAAACATTAAGTCTTTTCTTCCTGGTTATTTACAAGAAATTAACTGCTCTGATTTCCTCCCAGGATAGCAGCTTCCTGGTCTGGGAGCATATCTCTCAAGGCTGCCTGCTTTGCTCCCAAGGTGGGATGAGTTATTGTCTGCTTGTTAAGAAACTTACTTTTTAACCAATTGGGTTTTAAAATGCAACCTTATTTTCAAGATGGAATCCTTCCTGTTTTTACTACATTGTTTTGGGCTTGCTTGCTACATTGCCCAGGTTGCAAATCATTTGTTTAGAGCTGGAGGAAGAAAAACAGTACTTGGATAAAGTTAGAAAAACAAGCTGGGTCCTTCAGCAGGCCAAAGCAAATCCCACAATAGATTATCTTGCTTTGTTTTTTCCAGAGGCCCTCACCCTACTCTGTCTAAACCCAGGGTCCCTGTCTCAAAATAACTACACAGTATGCAAGAGGAGGGAATCAATTAACATCTTAAAATTTATCTGCAATATATTTCTAGGCCCTGTGTTCCCAGCACTGGGGAGCCTGTGAAGGTCTTGGAAGTGGAATGGAGGGAAGGAAGGAAAGATGGAAGGAGGAAAGGAAAATGACTTGCATCCTCAGTGACACTTAAGCAGCCCCTGTTATAGACAACCCCCACCCTTCCTGCCTCCCCCGCCAGATGACTTTGATGTGGAGATATTTATTCTTGTGGTTGCTGTATTTACCCTTGCTAACGGAAAGGGTAGCTAAGGATACAACAGAATGACTTGAAGATTTATCCTGTTTAGTTCTATGTTCAGTTTACAATCTGCCAAAGTTCACATTAGGGTCTATGTAAATGCTTAGAAAGTATCAATCTCGTGAATATTACTTCATTGCAAGCACTTTGCATCCACCATAACAATGCATTTCACCAAACCATGAAAAGCAAACCATTATTACCTGTTTTAAAGATGAGAGGCTCTGAGTAATATGCCCATTGTCACACACCATAAGCTGCAGGGCCAAGATTTGAAATTAGGCTATTAAATGCTATGTTACATAATGATACTTATTCCTCTCTCCCTGGCCCCTTTCCCCCCAAATTTATAATGCATTATTTACTGGGACTGGAAAGCAGAGGAGCTGAATTGCTTCTTCCAGGACAGGGGTACTTGGTACAGGAATTATGATTAGAGGGAAGGAAACCACCCCCATCTCCACCTATGTCTAGTGTTGGCAACCCACCTGGTTGGGTTGCTGAAATAGGATTTAGCTCTGCTCCTGCAGTAGCACACAAGGGCACAGAGACCACCCTGCCCCACTTCCTCTGCTCCTCTGGAGCCTAGCGTTTATGATGGTTCAATTCACCCTTTGGGTTTTTCAACTGCCTGTATTCCTCCAATCCATTCCTGTTTTGCTGAAATTAGCCAGATTTGATTGCTGTAGTAGCCCTCAAAGAACCCAAATCTTTGAAATTCTTATAAAATTCATGGCATAGTGCCTGGCATCACCTGGCTTAATCCTCTCAATAATCATTCCTCAATTTATAAATTATTATCTGGAGGCACTAAGAAGTAACAATCTCAAAATCATTTAACTGACAGGTGGTGGGACCTATAGAAGTCCGGCATTCTTTATCCACAATTCTGAAATCCACACAGCTCTAAAAACTACTGGCAAAACCTGGTCTCAATTTGATGTGTGGTTACTTACAATCACTGTATTACTTAATATAAAATTCAAGTTGATGTGACAACAAAAATCCATGCTCCTTCCCCCTGTAATGGACTTGAAGGCTCCACTCCTTTGTCATTAGCCTATTGACCTATGCCCATATGCTCATCCTCCATGCCATGGCTCCTGGGGATAAATACGACCATCTTCTACCGACTGGAGGTTGTTGGGAGCTATACAGTCTCTATCATGAAAACTTGCAAATTGGAGCCAAAACCTACCCAATGCACACACACACGCACACTTAACAAGTAAGTTTTCAAAGTCATACTTACTGATATTTTGTGCCCAGAGAAACCCTCCCTCTCTGTCTTTAGCCACTCCAAAGAGCATCTGCAAGACAGTTTGCTCTGCAGTGGTGCAGCTGTATCCTGGTGGGAAGACTACCTGGGCTGGCTGACTGGTTGGATCCGTAGGCTGGTCTACAGTCTCTCATCTGCATTTCTAGAATCAAAAACAACAACAGTAAAAGACCTCAAACCAGTGAAAATTTAAATTATTTTTACAACTTATTTGGCAGAAAAAAAATCTGATGTTGAGGTTTCTTTATAATATCATTTACACACTAAAGATGAATGTTCATATGTTTTGTGCTAAAATTTTAATGTTTGCTTACACGGTGCTGTGTGGGACCTCTCTGGTTTATTAATTAATGTAGGAAGTATGCATTATATTTTCTTTGTACTTGGCCCGAAGGTTTTAAAGAAAGGATTAAGTTCCTGTAATGTGTTCATGCAAGAGCAAAAAGCCCAAGTAATCACCAACAAAAAATTATTTAGCATATTTTAATCTAATTAAAAATACATTTTTGATATAATTTTAGTAATATGCTGCCTGCTAGCCATTTTTACAGTGAAGTTTCTGATTCAGTCACTAAAATGCTAGCTAACCACACCTGCAATATACATGAAATGTTATTTGCATAGAAATAATCATTATACAGACACTGTAACATTGTAAGCACTGAAATTTTAAGAAATGTTAACTATTTGATATGGAGTTAAAAAAAATTTATTATAAACTTGCCCATATTTTAAAGTGGAAAAGTTTAAGTAATGTTTGGAAAACACTAGACATTTAAATTTTATTTGAAAACCTGCAGGAGTATGATTTCAACCAGCAAAAACATTATTAATAGGTCCCTTTCTTCTGCCAATCAAACTGGTGTTGCTTGGTGCCATTGTTAGGAAAAACACAAATCCAAGCCTGAGCCCTGAAACTGAATCTGAGTGTCTGTGATTGCTTAGGAAGTGGTTAGCCTCATGACTGTACATATTCATATAATATGTGTATATACACATGTGTATAAAAACACATACACACACATATTAACTAGTCATGAACCAAGGCTATTGAATTGCATGGAAAAATCCATAGATCCCCCAAAATGTCTGAGTTTTCCTAAGGCTCATGAACCCTGCTTTGAAAAACACTAGATAAGCACATACATTTATTCAGTGCTTCAAAAGCTGCCTTCAAGTCATTCCCTGGGTGAGATAAAAACGTAAGTACACTCGGCACCCAATGAGGGGCTGCCAAGAAGGACGATAGCTTCTTTCCAAACCTGAATGCTAAAGAGGAGTGGCAGTAAATTAAAAAATGAACCAATACAATTTTTAAACGAACCAATAAAATCTCAGCAAATTTGATTGAAATTGAATTCATTTGAGATTTTAAATGTTTACTTTTATTACTGAAAGGAAAAAATTTATGAAGAAACTTCATGTATCGCATTGTCTGGAACCATTACAAAGTATTTTGTATTTTGCTCATCCTATCCATGCATTTTCCATTTAGTGAAAGTAAACATACTGGATATTTTGTATTGCAGGACGCTAAGCCTGATGTTATTCCACACAACATGTGTAATGAGGATGGATATCTAGCCTGGTAATAAGCTGCACTTCAGAAAAGACAAAATAAAGAAAGCAGGAGTTTTTGTCCTCAGCAAGGGTGCTGAAAAACATGAAGTTTTTCCTGTTTCAGAGAAACCTGGAAAAGTCTAACCTTGTGCTAGGTCACTCTGCAAAGCTGGACTGATCTAGGACTAAGGTGAGGTCCTTAGGTCCTAAGATCAGAGGATCCTTAGGTTCAGAATTTGGTTTAGGACACTAGGACAATTCCCATATTTTCCCAAGTGCATCCAAAGCCAAGAAATCTATAAAAATAGTTGAACATACTCTAGGAATGGTTTGTAGAGCACAGGGTTACTTGTTTTGCAGCTTTATCTTCTATATTAAATTTCTGTTCCCTGGGGTGTATTAAATGACAGCATGAGGCTTACTTGTTTAAAAAATAGTACAATACCTCAATGGTATAAGGCATCACAAATGAAAGTGAAATTGGTCCAAAACATTCTGTTCGATATATAATATTGCTGTAATGTTTAGATTTTTGATAATGAAAGTCAGTTTTCAAATTATTTGTTTTTCAATATTAATGTAACGTCAATAAAATATGAGTGAATGTGTATAGACATAAACATATATATTTATGTAATATTTAATCTACCAATGATCAAATTGACAACTGTTGTAATAATATAGAAAATATATATAAGTGACTTATTTCTGTCCCGTTCTCAAACAAATGTTTGGTGTGTTCCTGGAGTCAAATGTAGATCTTTCTCAGCCGTACTTGCATTTTTTTCTTTTAAGACTTAAAGAGGTAATGAAGAACACTTCCAACGTTTTCCTGGATCCTTCTTGGTAGATTTCAGAAGGTCTGATTGCATCCTTGATATCATGAGCCACCTGAACAGTTGTAGGGAGGGCTTTTTTTTATTGAATATGAGGGCAGCTCAACTCTGTAAACATGTCCCTCTTGGTATCAGTTTAATTGAAAAGCTGCCTTCACTTATTGAAAATTTGAGTCTGAATATGAGGAAGAGAGTCCATTTTCTCCCAATAATTTTGTATTTTGAATATGAGGAAGAGAGTCCATTTTCTCCCAATAATTTTGTATCCTTCTAGAAACTGTTTCTCTTTTCCAGTGGGAGACTTCATAGTTATGTCTATTATGGGCATGTATAAATAAATGAAATCCTGGCTAAATGTCTAGTGCCACCTATTGGTGGTCAAGTATACATTGAATCTTGGTGACATTCCCACTAAAGAGGAAGTAGAAGTGATTTTGATGTTTTTTTTTTCCAATTTATATGTCCATATGCATACTTTATGATGATGACTGTATTTAAATGATAATAATAATAATAATATAATATATATATAATAATAATTATAATAAATATAATAAGTTATGGTTTGTATTATTCAATCCCACAATTATCTTAAAGCAATATATGCTGTGACAGTCTATTTTCAATAGTAAATGAAAAAGGAAAAAAGATCTAGGGTACAAGGAAGAAACAACACATGACATCTGCACATTTTGTTTTTTATACTTGTCTTGAAATGCATATTGTCACCCACAACACAAGGTATCCTGACTATGCACTATATCTTTTCAAATAGACTTTGGATTTTTTTCCCCTGACATTTAAAAGCTTGAGATAATGAAGTTATTTCAACTTAATTACTTAAGAATAAATGGGCTATAAATGGTGCTGAGACAACTGGATTTCCACATGCAGAAGAATAAATAAAGTTGGACTGTACTTCACACCACAAACAATAATTTACTCAAAATGGATGGAACTCCTAAACAAATGTGTACACATACAATAGAATATTATTCAGCTTTAAAAAGAAAGGAAATTCCTACACATGCTAAAACATGGGCAAATCTTGAGAGCATTATACCAAGTGAAATAACCCAGTCAAAAAAAGAAAAGTATTCTATTTTTAGGAGGTAGTCAAATTCATAGAACAGAAAGTAGATAGTTGCCAAAGGCTATGGCGGGGAGAGTGGGTGCTGTTTAACTGCTATGGAGTTTCACAGCTGTAAGGTGAAAAGACATTCTGAATATCAGTTTCACTTTATTTTTTTTTACTTAACCCTGTTGCACTACAGTAGTACACATAAAAATGGCTAAGATGGTAAATTTTATGCACATTTTAACAAATTTAAAAAATAAATACAATTTTCTAAGAACTGGATCAAACATAAATGTAAGAGCTAAAATTATAAAATTCATAATAGGAAACATAGGCATAAATCTTCATGATCTTGGATTATGCAAGTTTCTTAGATATGACAGTACAAGCACAAGCAACCAATGGGAAAATAGACAAGAGTTAACAACTTTTGCTCTTCCAAGGGCTCTTTCAAGGGAGGAAAGACAACCCAGGAGAAAACACCTGCAAATCATATATGTGAAAAAGGACTTGTATCTAGAATATAAAAGGAATTCTAACAACTCCACGATAAAAAGACAGCCCATTTTCAAAATGGGCTTGAGAGTCTGAATAGACATTTCTCCAAGTAATATATACTAATCTGCAGTAAACACATGAAAAGATGCTCAGTATTATTAGTTTTTAGGGAAATGCAAAACAAAACCACAGTGAGGTACAGGTAACAAACCCACTAGAAAGGCCATATTAAAAAAAAATTGATACTAAGTATTGGTGAGGATGTGGAGAAACTGGAACTCTCACATATTGCTGATAAGAATTTGAAATGGTACAGACACTTTGGAAAACAGTCTGCAGTTCCAGACTGTTTATGTTTACTGTTAAACATAAAGTTGCCATATGGTCTAGCAAACTCTACCGCAAGAGAAATGAAAACGTGAGTCTGCGCAAAAATTTGTATACAAATGTTCATAGCAATACTATTCATCATTCCCCAAAGCAGAAATAACACAAATGTCTATCAACTGAAGAATGAATATGTAAAATGTGTCATATCCATATAATGGAGTATTACTCAGGTGGAGAAAGAACTGATGCTGCAACAGTGATCAGTCCTGGGAACATCTTGTTGAGAGAAGGCAGTCACAAAAGAGTCCATTTATGTGAAATGCGCAGAATAGGCAAAACTGTGGAGACAGAAAGTAAGGGTAGGGATTTCCCAGGGCTATGGAGGCCTGGGGGGAAATGAGGAGTGACTTTCTAAAACCAATTGGGTTATGGGTGCAGATATCTGTCAATGTGAAAGCCATTGACTTGTACATATGAAAAGGGAGAATTGTATGATATGTGAGATGTATCTCAAAAAGAGCAGTTGTTAAAAAAAACAAGAGAGTGGATGAGTCAACATGATTCACCATCATTAACTTGTGATACTGATTAAAATAAAGGTTTAGAATGTGTAAAGCGAGAAATGCTGAACGCTGTTAATAGTACTGAGGCATATAACATGATCAGAGTTTAGAGAACATGAGGCTATTACAGTGTTTTATAGTTTGAACACTTACTGTTACAGTAAATGATTTCACTAAAATTGGAAAGACATTGTTCTTGTATTCTGTATCTCCCATGTTCTTTCTTTACAATAAGCAATCTGAACAAGTGGCTTAAATCTAGAAATTATCCCCCAGC